CCCCCAAAACCCCAAAACCCCGTTAAATTATCATTTTGTCAGAATTGAAATTGTTGAAATTAATGCAACAAATAATGTTTATTAATATTTGGAGCTAATGATATATAATTAATTACAAATTTTCTACATAAAAAAGATGAAAAAAGCAAACCAAAAGCGTCAAAAATAAAAATACGTAGTTAAAGGAAGCATCCCTTCTTCAACAACCTAGACATAACCTTAAGATCTGATAAAACCTGAAGAAACAAAGCATGATATAACTATAATCTATCTCAATGGAGAAAAATACTCTTAAATTGAAGATATTCAAAAATATGAAACAATAAGGCAAGTTAGAACCAGACTCAACTTCAAGTTTGAATACTATTTCATAGACTTAGAGTCTTATGAAATTGAAAAAGAAAATGAAAAGAATATTGGACCAGCATAAATTAAGACTGATGATAACAAGATACATTTGATGTAGCGAGCTATAGAAATGCCTTTGAGTTTCTCAACAATTGAAGATTATGTAAATAAAATCAGAGATATCCTAACCAATGAAGAATTAATTGATCAGTATAAAGATAAAGAAGTAAGAGTTGCTAAATTCATTTTTGATGAGAATGAACAAAGATAAATTACGAAAAGACTATTGATCATTCTTGATAAATCTGATAACATCAAGCCAAAAAGTTTCATTTAGGTCACATTGACTCCAGTTGATAAGGATGAGTAGATATACACTGGTATGGCTAGTGTTTTCTCAATATCTTTTAAAGAAAACCAGAAAATCGTAGTTGCAGTAGATTTGAATATCTTCACACCCCACAATGAAAAATAGGAACTTCCCAAATCAGATCAAGATTACTACCACCATACTCTCAAATATTAAAAAATTGAAAGATTAGGCAAGTACACCAGTGCTAAGAATGCCTTAAATATTTTTAGCTTAAATCAGGATAAATCTGAAGAAATTTTAAAGGCAGCCATATTTAGTTGCGATTAGATGAAATCATAAAATAAATAGCTTCCAAAAGAGATTATCATTCCAGGAATTCCAGATACTTTTTCATCATCTCAGAGAGAAGCAGTAAAAAGCGCACTTACTGGTAGATTAACACTTATATAAGGTCCGCCGGGTACTGGTAAGACAACAGTACTGCAGGCTGTAGCAGCGCACATGGTGAGTGAAAATTATCGCAACAATATTCACACTCCAATACTTATATGTGCTCCATCAAACGCTGCCGCTGATCTCATTGCTGAAAGATTAAGATTTGTTCCAAGTTTGAATGGAAACTATATTCGTCTACAATCTGAACATAGAGAAGATATTTTCAACACCAACATGAATAATCTAAGAGAGTATGATTTGCTTTAAAAAATAATGTTCATGGATATACTTGAAGCTTAGGATGAAGTAAACAAGCAATTCATATCTGTTGATCGTCAATAAGCAAAGTAAACTGTAGAATATTATTTTTCTGATGCTAATTATTACTTCAAAGATGGCATCGGTGATGTGTTTCTTAAAAGTCTAGAAATATAAGATGGTTAAAACTATATTGAAATAGAAAAAATTCTCTAGTTCTATAGAATGAAATAATTTCGTGTATCAAGGGAAGAAATAGTTGATTTTTCTAGATATGCATTTAACTTTGAGGTAGATAGATCTGGTTTCTATATCAGAAAGAAGATAGCTGACAAAAGTGCTATTCTAAAGCTATTGGGCTTCAACTCAAGTTCAGTTAGAACATTCACTCCTGAAGAACTTTTCAACTTAAAGGATCTCAAACTCAAAATTGAATAAAAGACTCTAGGTAGAGCTGCTGCCATTATAACAACCTGCTTGAATAGCTTTGACAAAAGACTTAAAGGGATTAAATTTAGACAAGTAATTATTGATGAAGCAGCTTAATGCCAAGAAATAGAAACATTGATTGCCCTAAGAAATGCAAATCATGCTGTATTAATAGGGGATTAAATGTAGCTTGGCCCAAGATATTCATCATTAATTGATGGTCCAAAATCAATGTTTGAAAGAATGTATTTAGCAAAGTATCCTTTAGAAATGTTGACAACACAATATAGAATGCATCCATTCCTATTAACTTTGCCTAACTAAATGTTCTACAATAACAAGATTGAAAACGGATACATTTAGCAATATAAAAATCAATTCATTGACAAAGAGAAACCTATGCTTTTCATTCATATTGATTCAACTGAAAGCAAATTTGGTACATCTTACTTTAATATGGAGGAAGCTTAGGCAGTAAAGGATATAACAGATTTTCTTGTTTTGAGATAGAATTATGATAGAAGAAGATTTGGTTTTATCTCTGGTTACAATGGGCAGATTCAAAAATTATCAAGCGTTCTCAGAGGATTTAATCTTTAAGAAAATAGTATCGGAACTGTGGATTCTTACTAAGGTAGGGAATGTGATTTTGTAATATTCTCTGCAGTAAGAAGCAACAGCCATAAAAAATCTAACGGTATAGGATTTTTAAGTGATAAAAATAGAGCTAATGTTGCATTAACTAGAGCCCAGCATGGCCTAATTATCATCGGCAACAAAAACTTCTTATCAAAAGATCATAAGTGGAAGTTATATATTACATTCCTTGAGCAAAATTAAGTTGTTGTAAATGGAGTCCAAGGTGCGGTTGATTACATACTAAAAATGAATAGTAGAATTGGGGCTTAATCAGTAATAGACTCTTCAGCTTTTAATCCTGATGAAGATTTTATGTGATTATCTATATACTATTGAAATTATTATAAAATTGATTTAACTTCACAGCTCAGATTAGTTAAATTTAATTGAATAAAATTTTAAGATATTTAGCGATCGAATATTTATTTGTCAAAACCACCACTATATTTAAGCAATGAGGGGTTTTGGGGTTTTGGGGTTTTGGGG